CATTGTGGCTAATAGACACTGATGGACCTCTGCTCCATATGTCCATCCAATCCCCTCTTAAGAACCTAAGAGAAGCCAATTTTGGACCAGGCCAGTGGCCCATCCAGTCCAACACTCTGTGTCACACAGTGGCCAAAAATACCAGGTGCCATCAGGAGGTCCAGCAGTGGGGCCAGGACACTAGAAGCCCTCCCACTGTTGCCCCTCAAGCACCAAAAAGACAGAACATCCCTTGCCCCAGACTGAGAGTTCCTACCTATACCTTGTGGCTATAGCCACTGATGGACCTCTGCTCCATACGGTTATCTAATTCCCTTTTGAAGCCGTCCATGCTTGCAGCCGCCACCACCTCCTGTGGCAGTGAATTCCATGTGTGAATCACTCTTTGGGTGAAGAAGTACTTCCTTTTATCCGTTCTAACCCGACCGCTCAGCAATTTCATGGAGTGCCCACAGGGAGTTCTTGCATTGTGAGAAAGGGAGAAAAGTACCTCTTTCTCAACCTGCTCTATCCCATGCATCATCTTATAAACCTCGATCATGTCACCCCTCAGCTATCGTTTCTCCAAGCTAAAGAGCCCCAAGTGCTTGAACCTTCCTTCATCGGGAGAGTGTTCCAACCCTTTGATCATTCCAGTTGCCCTCTTCTGCACTTTTCCCCAATGCTATAATGCGACTTACAACTCCTGGAGATGTGGGGGTGGAGCGTGCAGAGGATAAGGACCACAGTGGGGTACAAGGCCATGGAGCCCCCCCCCTCCAAAGCAGTCATTTGATTCAGGGGAACTGATTGTGGTCAATGGTCCCTCTAAGCTGTGGAGTCCTGTGAGCAAAAAATTCTACTCCATGAGCTGCTGGCATTCAAGTTGTGAGCGAGCGATTGGGCTGCTGCATGAATTAGTTTGCTCCGGAGCCCTCCTTCCTGAACTAAGACCAAAATGTGTGAGCCGGAGGCTAAAGAACTGTGAGCTGGCTCACACTGACTCAGCTTAGAGGGAACACTGATCGTTGTCGTCCAAAGATGAGCTGTAGCTCCAAGGGATCCCCAGGTCCCACCTGGAGGCTGGCATCCCTGCCCCCACCATGCGCCCGAAAGGGAGATGGTGCTTGCAGCGGGGCTCCCGGGCCGCTTTATTAATCGCTAACCCGCACCAGTTTGAGAGCCAGTTTGGTGTAGATTCTAATCTGGGAGAACCAGGTTTGATTCCCCACTCCTCCACATGCACCTGGCTGGATGACCTTGGGCAAGCCGTAGTTCTCTCCGAGCTGTCCTTGAAAAAGAGCCGTTCCTGTCAAGAGCTCTCTCAGCCCCACCCACCTCACAGGGTGTCTGTTGTGGGGAGGGGAAGGGAAAGGAGTTTGTCAGCCGCTCTGAGACTCCCTTGGGTAGTGAAGGGCGGGATATAAATCCAATCTCCTCCTCCTCCTCCTCCTCCTCCAGCCGATTTGCAGTGTTGCTCTGCCTAAAAATAAAACCGAAGGGGAAGTGGGGGGAGAGAGAACCTGAAGCTATAATTGAACGAGGCCGAACGGGCTGGAGAGCGTGGAGGGCTGCCGTTGCAGAAGCCCGAGGTGAGGCTTTAACCGAGTTTGCAACCCCGAGAGTGAGGCAGGCCACTTTTGGCTCTGGCGGGGTGCGAGCGCTTTCCAGACGTTGGGGTTCACAGCCGTGGCAAAGCGCTCTCTGCTTTGTTGGGGGGGGGGGCACACCAAGCACAGTGACGTTTTTGCACGAGCCCTGTTCTCACCGGCAGTGTCACCTGTGTTGAGTTCTCCTGGCATTCATCCTCGATAATTTATTTCTCAAAATCAGCCCAATAGTGTTGAAAAGGGATGAGTCACTGAGGCACGGAGTAACCCCCGTGTATCACGCGCACGGTGGCAGGAACCCTGATTGTCAACAGATTCTTCTTTCCGCTGTTCCTGAGATGTTTTTGCAGACACCTGCCACCTCCCCCCCATGGGTCGGATCCTGTGGATCTGTTCTACACACAGTGACGCTTTCCCCCAGCACAACAGGGTGGCCTTTGGCAAGCCTCTCTCTCGGCCCCACCCCTGGGCCGTTGTCAGATAGTGATGCATACCTTGCAGGATCGTTGTAAGGATTATATACCAGCACTTGGGGAAAGTAGTAGAAGAAGAAGAGATTGGACGTATACCCCGCCCTTCACTTGGAGTCTCAGAGCGGCTTTCCCCTCCACACAACAGACACCCTGTGAGCAATGCTCCCTCTAAGCTGTGGAGTCTTGTGAGCAAGAATTCTACTTTGTGAGCTACCGGTATTAAAGTTGTGAGCGAGCAATTTGGCTGCTGCATAAATTACGTTGGCTCTGGAGCCATCCCTTCCTGAGCTAAGACAAAAATGTGTCAGCTAGAGGCTAAAAAACTGTGAGCTAGGAGGGAACAGTGCCTGTGAGGTACGTGGGGCTGAGAGGGCTCTTTCAAGGACTGCCCTTGAGAGAACAGCTCTGAGAGAACTGGCGACTGCCCCAAGGTCACATCAGCAGCTCCACGGGGAGGAGGAGGGGGGGAATCAGACCCGGTTCTCCCAGATCAGAGTCTGCGCTTCTAACCACTACACCAAACTGGCAAGAGCCAGAGTGGTCTAGTGGTTAAAGTGTCAGAGAGGGGTCTGGGAGACCCAGGTTGGAATCCCCACCCCTGCCATAGAGGCTTGCAAGGGTGACCTTGAGCCAGTTACACACTTCCTCAGCCTCACCTACCTTGCAGGGTTGTTGTGAGGACAAAACAAGAGGCGAGGAGAAGGACATAAGCCACCTTGGATCACCTTTGGGGGACACAAGTCGGATGTAAATAAATCAATATTTTTATCTATTAGAAGCGGTGGAAATGTATAATCTACTTTCAGAGCAGAGGGATTTTGGGTAGGGGGGCGTTCTACTATATATATTTTTTTTTTTGCTGTTTTCCACATGCCACTGTTTTCAGGGCCAACAGAAGGGAACCATGCACTGTTCTGTGTTATCCTGTTTGCAAAAGTTCATAAAAGTTACAAGCCCATATACATTTTTATGAGTCCACCTGCCTACACATACCTGTGCTCACTTGTTTAAGAACATAAGAACATAAGAGACGCCAATGTTGGATCAGGCCAAAGGCCCATCCAGTCCAACACTCTGTGTCACACAGTGGCCAGAAATACCAGTGCCATCAGGAGGTCCAGCAGTGGGGCCAGGACATTAGAAGCCCTCCCACTGTTGACCCCCCCCCCAAGCACCAAGAAGACAGAGCATCACTTGCCCCAGAGCCCCTAGCTATACCTTGTGGCTAATAGCCACTGATGGACCTCTGCTCCATATGCTTATCTAATTCCCTTTTGAAGCCGTCCATGCTTGTAGCACCCACCACTTCCTGTGGCAGTGAATTCCATGTGTTAATCACTCTTTGGGTGAAGAAGTACTTCCTTTTATCCGTTCTAACCCGACCGCTCAGCAATTTCATGGAGTGCCCACGGGTTCTTGTATTGTGAGAAAGGGAGAAAAGTACCTCTTTCTTTACCTGCTCTTTCCCATGCATAATCTTATAAACCTCGATCATGTCACCCCTCAGTCGTCTTTTCTCCAAGCTAAAGAGCCCTAAGCGCTTTAACCTTTCCTCATAGGGAAAGTGTTCCAACCCTTTTATCATTCGAGTTGCCCTTTTCTGCACTTTTTCCAAAGCTATAATATCGTTTTTAAGGTGTGGTGACCAGAACTGCATACAGTATTTCAAATGCGGTCGCACCATTGATTTATATAGGGGCATTATTATATTGGCTGATCTGTTTTCAATACCCTTCCTAATAATCCCCAGCATAGCATTGGCCTTCTTTATTGCAGCCACACACTGTCTCGACATTTTCAGTGAGTTATCTACTACGGCTCCCAAGATCTCTCTCTTGATCAGTCTCTGCCAGTTCAGACTGCCAGTTCAGACTCTGCCAGTTCAGACAGTGTTGTCTGTGTCGTGTGCGTAAAAGAAATGGCGCATTTGCCCTCCAAGGGGAAAAGGGCAAGTTCGATCCAATTGTTCCACCAGCAGCTTCAAGGCATTTCTGCACCCTCCGCTGCTCCGCACCCCATGGTGTGACCAGGATTCATTCATCGGAGCGGGCTCCCCCAAAAGGGAATGCTCCCCCAAAAATTATCAGGAGGGGTCTCATTTCACAAGGGGGGGATGCAGGGTGGAGGCAGTCCTCCCATAGGAGAGCCGGTAAATAAAGCGTTCTGGAGCGAGAGAGAGACAGATTTGCTTTAGCTAGATTCGAATCCAGGACCACCTTAGAGAACAACAAGATTTTGTGGCGTGTGAGCTTTCAAGGTGTGATGTTCCCTTTTGTCAGATCTGCTTCAGAGACGCCCCCCACTAGGAAGACCGTCCCCCCCTCTGGGGGAGATCAGGAGTCCAGTGGGAACTGGATATCCTGGTCGAGTGGTCAGAGCGGTCTCTGGGGACTGGAAGAAGTCCTGTTTCCAACTTGCTCCCTTTCAGTTCCCCTGTTTTTGCAAAATGCATGTCGCTGGCTTCAGTCTCCGCACAGGCTAGTCAGAGGCCCGGTGTGCGTGCAGCCCCTGACATACAGCTTTCTATTTCTGGCCTGACTCAAAACCGCTCCCACGGATCACTTCCCCTCCACGCATTTCTGCACCTGGCAGGGCCCGCTGCCTGCTTTTTTTGTAGACCGGATCTGTTCACCACCCCCACGGTCTGGGCTGCGGGGGTCTCAAGCAGTGTTCCCTCTAAGCTGAGTGAGTGTGAGCTGGCTCGCAGTTTTTTTAGCCTCCAGCTCACACATTTTTGTCTTAGCTCAGGAAGGACGGGGCTCCAGAGCAGACTGATCTATGCAGCAACCAAATCACCTGCTCACCACTTTAATGCCAGGAGCTCACAAGGTAGAATTTTTTTGCTCACAGGACTCCACATATTAGAGGGAACATTCAGGCGCCTGTGAAATTGCGGGCCTTTTTAAAATTTTCCTCCCGTGTCATTTCTGTTCCACAGTTTCCTGGAAGAGGTTTCAGCGGCTGGCTTCCGTGGAAGAGGCATGGAGAGTTCTCAAGCGGCGGCCCGGGTGGCCAGCAGGCGTTGAGTTTTGGCCCTTCACCGTCACCCCCTCTGCTCCGTTGCCGGACAAGAAGTGTCCCTCGTGCGCCCAAGCCACGCCATGGTCCTGCTCCTCAACTGCTTTGCCCCCGGGCAACGAGGCCTTTGGGACTCTCCGGGGGTGTCTGGCGACCGTCTCCATCTACATCCAGCCCAACCAAGCCGGGCTTGGCCGTGGATGCGGGGCGTCGTGCTTGTTGCTTCTTCCGTCGTGGCATTCTTCAAGATGGCGGGGCGGAAAGCGTGTCCAGAGATGGCCAGGAAGGGTAACCCTCCCGATGGGTTTTCACAAGGGCCGCCCATGGACCTCTGCCACGGATCCTGCTTCCTTGCTGTCTCTCTTGGGTCAGCCGCTCCCCTCGGAGGGTCACCAAGCTCTGTGTCCTGTGGCCTCTCGTCCCTCCAAAAAGCAATTGTGTGAACCCCAATAAAAGGCTGTCCTGATTTTCTGGCAGAGGCTGGTAGAGTCTTCTTGAATGGAGGGGCGAAAATGGCGGGGCAGGTGGGGCGGCACACGGGTGGGGCCTGCAAGCCGAAAGAGGTTGTGTTGGAAGGAGACCGGTGTGTGTGTGTCTGCAAATCTGTGCTTGGTGTACCTTTTAAGAGGAGCCAGGACAGGGACTCACGCCTGCCCCTGCCCCAAGAGTCTAGTACAGGGGTGGCTAAACGTGCTTGACGTAAGAAGAAACGTCAGATGTTTATTCTCCGGAATGCTCCGCATTGCAAGACTACATCTAATGGGTGGAAATTACAAGGGAGTCGTTACGGGCTAAAAATCAGGAGAAACTTCCTAACTGGAAGAGTGGTTGAGCAGTAGAACAGACTGCCTTGGGAGGTGGTGGATGCTCCTTCGCTGGACGTTTTCAAGCGGAGGCTGGACGACCCTCTTTCGGGTATGTCATAGGGCTATCTTTCGGCTCTGCTCCTGCAGAGTGCAGGGGGTTGGACTAGATGACCTACAAGACCCCTTCCAACTAACATTCTAACATCCAGCAAGGCTCTTCTTAGGTTCTTATAACAGCCTTGGCCTCTATGCCCTGCTGTTGGCCCTCCAGAGAAACTGGCCACAGTGTGAGACGGGAGGCTGGACTGGAGGGACCCTCACTGGTCTGTTCCAGCAGAACTCTTCTGAGGTTCTCCTCAGGGGAAGGCCTCGGCCCCTCTGCCCTGTTGTTGGCCCTCCAGAGGAACTGGTTGAGGCCCCTGTGTGAGACAGGAGGCTGGACTAAGTTGACCCTCACTGGTCCGATCCTGCAGGGCTCTTCTGATGTTCCATGGTGAGCAGGGTGGCCCAGTTCCGTTGCCATAGTGAGCAGAAGCAGAATAAATTATTCAGGATGAGAGAGCGCTTAGGCAGAGTGGATCGGGTTGCGTAACAGATGCGGGTTGTGGATTCAAGTTCTCTTGGCCCAGAATTTGGGGTTACCTGGGTGCAGAATGGTGATAATCCTTGCCGTCCCCACCCTTGAGTTTAAGGTGAAATCGAAATTTAGCCCACACCAGAAGAAGTCTCCACCTCCTACATCCATTTTGAGCCAGCGAAGGTTGATGTCACCGTGCCCCTCGCCTGGCAACATTCTTATAACTCCCTCAGTCCTTAAAGACAATCCCTCCCCACACACACACACTTCTTCCACCCCGCAAGGATTAGGGTGATAAGGACCGGGGGGGGGGAATCCCTAGTCTTTTTGCAGGGCTGGAAATCAAAGTTGTGCAGGGATCACCCCCTCTCCCACTACCGAGAAGAGCAACCACTCAGGCTAAATGTCGTCACGCCTGGTCTTTTTACTTCTGCAGGTAGTTTCAGAGGGTGAACGTCTCCGGACAGCGCTGGCTCTTCGGCTTTGAAACGGAGATGAGCACCGCAACCCTAGAGTCGGATTCGACTGGCTTTCGAGCAAGGGAACCTTTACCTAAGTGCACAGACTCTAATCTGGGAGAACCGGGTTTGATTCCCCCACTCCTCCACTTGCGCCGGCTGGATGGCCTTGGGCAAGCCATAGTTCTCTCAGAGCTGTCCTTGAAGAAGAGCCGTTTCTGTCAGAGCTCTCTCAGCCCCACCTACCAGCCAGTTGGGTGCAGTGGTTGAGTGCGTGGACTCTAATCTGGGAGAGCCGGGTTTGATTCCCCCACTCCTACACTTGCAGCTGCTGGATGACCTTGGGCAAGCCGTAGTTCTGATAAGAGCTGTTCTTGAAAAAGAGCCGTTTCTGTGAGAGCTCTCTCAGCCCCGCCTACCTCACAGGGTGTCTGTTGTGGGGAGGGGATGGGAAAGGAGTTTGTAAGCCGCTCTGAGACACCTTTGGGTAGTGAAGGGTGGGGTATAAATCCAATCTCTTCTTCTCCTCCTCCTCCTCACAGGGTGTCTGTTGTGGGGAGGGGATGGGAAAGGAGTTTGTAAGCCTTTGGGTAGTGAAGGGTGGGGTATAAATCCAATCTCTTCTTCCCAAACATCTTGCTGGTCTCTGAGAGTCTACTGGGCTCTTCTTCTGGGGAGGGGCAAGAAAAAGCCCGAGCACCCCCCCCCCATTTTGGGGGTCCAGATCTCCTTCCTCAGCTGGGACGTCTGGCGCGAGGCCGGTCCGATCCCGTTCCCGACATCAAATTTGCGTTCATATCAGGAACGCGCCGAAGCTGTAATCGGAATGTAGATTCGGGGAATTAATGAGTCAGATCAAATTAACCAGCTCGTAATCCCCTCTAGTAATTTAATTTTACCCTCATTGTCTTGATACTGGGAATAAATTGTCGCCTGGAAGATCGGAGAGCAGAGAGGAGTTGGGGAAGGAAAACCTGGGTGGGAAGGGGGGGGGTCCGGAGAGGGAGGGTCGCCCTCTTGCTTGGAAATGCCCCTTGTTCCTGCCACTGTACGGATGCCTACGGATGCCACCCTCCAGGTGGGACCTTGGGAAACCCCCCCCAAGAATTACAGCTCAGCTGCAGACTACGGAGATCAGTCCCCCTGGAGAAAATGGGTGCCTCGGAGGGTGGGCTCTCTGTGGCACTGTCCCCGGTGGCTGGGTGTGTGTGTGGAATGGTAACCCTAGAGATGCCACAGCTATCCTCTGTGGTTTGAGCAGGAGAAAGAACAGAGGTTTTGGTATCTGGAAGCTCCACTGAACATGGAAGGGGGGAGGTTTTGTCTGGAGGAGGAAGGAGGAGGAAGAGATTGGACTTATACCCCATGGCCCTTCGCTACCCAAGGGAGTCTCAGAGCGGCTTTCAAACTCCTTTCCCTCCCCCTCCCCACAACAGACACCCTGTGAGGTCGGTGGGGCTGAGAGAGCTCTGACAGAGAAACTGCTCTTTTTCAAAAACAGCTCTTATCAGAACTACGGCTTGCCCAGGGTCATCCAGCCAGGTGCAAGTGGAGGAGTGGGGAATCAAACCCGGCTCTCCCAGATTAGAGTCCGCGCACTTCACCACTACACCAAACTGATCTCTGTAGTCTGCAGATGAGAAGAAGAAGAAGAAGAGGAGATTGGATTTATACAGTTCCCTGGAAGGCCAGATAATGAAACTGAAGCTCAAATACTTTGGCCACCCAATGAGAAGGGAGCACTCACTGGAGAAGAAGACCCTGATGCTGGGAAAGACTGAAGGTCAAAGAAGAAGGGGACGGCAAAGGATGAGATGGTTGGACAGTGTCATCGATGCAACGAACATGAAGTTGAGCCAACTCCAGAGGACGGCGGAAGACAGGAGGGCCTGGAGTGATGTGGTCCATGGGGTCGCAAAGAGTCGGACTCGACTGTGCGACTGAACAACAATAACAAAAATACTATACAAACTCCTTTCCGTTCCCCTCCCCAGAACAGACACCCTGTGAGGTAGGTGGGGCTGAGAACTGCCCTTGAGAGAACAACTCTGAAAAGTTGTGAGTGACCTAAGGTCATGCCAGCAGCTGCATGTGGAGGAGTGGAGAATGAAACCCGGTTGTCTCAGATTAGAAGAAAAAGAAGATTGGATTAATACCCGGCCCTTCACTACCCAAAGGTGTCTCAGAGCGGCTTACAAACTCCTTTCCCTTCCCCTCCCCACAACAGACACCCTGTGAGGTGGGTGGGGCTGAGAAAGCTCTTGACAGAAACGGCTCTTTTCCCAGGACAGCTCTTATCAGAACTACGCTTGCCCAAGGTCATCCAGCAGGTGCAAGGCGGCTTGCCCAAGGTCATCCAGCAGGTGCAAGGCGGCTTGCCCAAGGTCATCCAGCAGGTGCAAGGGGAGGAGTGGGGGGATCAAACCCCGTTCTTCCAGATTAGCGTCCGCGCACTTCACCACTACACCAAACTGGCTCTGGAAGCCCACGCAGCTCTGTAACAGAACAGGAGGAACCCCAGGGCTAAAGCTGGGCTTCCCCGCTAATCAGCCCTCGGGAGGCCCAGCGGTACGGAAGTGCCGTCCCCCAGCGGACCTTTCCTGCCACAACCAAGCTGGCCCGGTACCGCA